TGAGTGTACAGGCATATATAGGCTTTGAAAATACAGATACAGATACTCCTCAGTTATAGCCAAAACACTTTCCCATATTGGCCTTCTGGATTTGAAGGCTTAGGGCCATAGTCTCTTGAGAGTGTAGTTCACAAAAAAATCATAGTCTACATCCTAATGAAGTGAACAGAGTCTGGGGACCTTTAATGCTTTAGAGTGGCCATTGAAGACCTAGCTATTGGTCTCTATTCACCAGGTACAAACAGTAAGGAAATAACCAAAAGTCTACATAGGTGTCAAAGGAGATCCATGAAGATCATCTAGCTCAATGAACCAATTCCTCAATCAGTCTTTTAAGCAACATTGAAGCTAATGAAGATGCTTTTATGGAGTGAATTATAACTGGGAATGAGTCTTGGATTTAGCAATAGAATCCTGAATGCAAAGCCCAATCAAATCAGTGACTTCTGGGGGCATCTCCTGGGCCTGTTGGATTCAAGACAGAGAGGTCAGCTCAGAAGTTATTTTGGAATTCCAAAGAGGTTATCATAATAGAGTTTCTCAAAGGACACAGGGTGGTCTTGAGGCCTTGTTATGAAGAAGTTTGAAGAACATTGAAAGTCGCATCGGCAGGCTAAAAGTCATGAAAGTTCTGGCAAGGGATTTTTTCCCCCTTCAAAACCATGCACCTATTCTTCCCTCAAAGATAGAATTTCCTATGAGAATTTTGTTGGGAATCATTCCCACATCTACCCCTCTGCCCTAATCTTCCCCCTTCAGGTAGATTTTTCTTCCCCAAACGCTATGAGCATTTCCAAGAAACACAATTTGAATTACTTCAAAATATCTAAATTGATGTTTTGTCATGGTGTAAATCAAAAAGCACATGATTCTTTGTGAAACCATTATAGAGATAGAAACATTGCCTTTTGAAATATATAGACCTGGATGGAGAATATGTAGAGAAACAATATTTTGATATTTTTGACTACTAGGTATTTCTATGACTTTGTAGCAATACTTTGTGACTTAACCCCATATTTTGTAACTACCCTTAGGACCTATTCCCAACCACTTCTCTGAGCCAACTAAACCAATTTTGCCCTCATTTGCATAATTAGCAGAGGTATTATTTTTTGATAGCAAAGAAAGACATGTCTTTTGTGTTATTTCATCTTTATAAGGGATATAACATTTATACACTTCTAAGAATATTTAAAAACATTTTTTCAAGTGATTTATTAAGTACTATTGTGGCACTATTAGCCAAAAGGCCAGAGGTTTAAATTCGAGAAAAAGAAAATTATTTGCTCTTATGTAAATTAAACCTCAGGAATTCTATATGACTCAGAAGTGACTTCATGGCAGTGGGATTTGGATTTGAAAAGTATAAAATCGATGAACTATTCTTGAATAATAATACTAATGATGGCTTTAATGTGATTGATATTTGGGTTTTTTTAATCGTTTTATTAAGGGCTCATACAACTCTTATCACAATCCATACATACATCAATTGTGTCAAGCACATTTATACATTCATTGCCCTCATCATTCTCAAAATATTTGCTCTTCAATTAAGCCCCTGGCATCAGCTCCTCATTGTGCCCCTCCCTCCATGCTCTCCCCTCCCTCATGAACCCTTGATAGTTTATAAATTATTATTTTGTTATATCTTTCCCTGTCCGACGTTTCCCTTCACCCACTTTTCTGTTGTCTGTCCCCCAGGGAGGTGATTGATCTTTGTATATGTAATACTTTGCTACAAACTTCAGTGTATATTTAAAATACAGTAATTTATTTTTAAGCTCTTCAGACTAATAATATCACACTTTAAAAAAAAGTGTGGCTTATAAAAGCTATTCTTACTTTTTCCCTTAAATCCTTTTGGAAAGCATATAAATATGGATTTTTATAGCTCAACACATTATAGTTAAACCTTTCATTATTATCCTTCTTCTAAAAGTCTCACACAATTGGTCAAGCACAAGGTTAACATGCTGCCATGTGTATTTTCCCTCTGTCCCCTGTGCCCACTTCGCTACAAGTCAAAACTCAGCTTGATGGCAGTGGCAATGGTTTATGTAGAGACAAACAGTGGCTTTGGAGGCAATCATGGGAGCCCTGGAGGTATAGAGGTTACGAGTGGGGCTGCTCACTTTGAAATCAGCAGTTTGAGACCACTCGCCCCTGTGGGCGGCCTGTAAAGAGTAAGATTCTCAGAAACCCGCAGGGACCCTATAAGGTTGCTATAACTCAGAATTGACTTGGTGGCAGTGAGTTTAGTTTGAGGCTTTTTTTTTTTTTGAGGCACATTAACTATACCAGGAATCTGGTCTTAGTAAGGTCTAATTAATTCCAAGTATAAATGTTCATATTTTTTTTCACAGATCATTGTTATACATTGAATAAGAATTTTTTAAAAAAGGAACAAAGATTGGGGCTGCAAGGCATCTCTACTGTGGGTAGAGGCCCGCTCTGTTGAACTCACTGCTGTACTCCCAGCATCCAGCATGGTGTGGGACTCGTAAGGATCCCCCAGCACTTGTGGAGTGAGCACATAATTTTTGTTGGAGCAGTCTCATTGTTTCCACTCAGACTGTTTCTCATGCAGACTGTAGTCAGTATGAGAAAGAGGATGAGTTTGAATTTATTATTTTTAAGTAAGGAGTTTAATTCTTGAATGAAAGTCAAGCACTTAAAGGAGTTAAGTGCTAGTTCTTTCTTTAAATAATTATTTATTTATGTTTGTTAAATGTATTAAGTGATTTAGGCTATTTCTTCCTCCTAATGCTTGTGGCAACATTTCCACCCCCTCATCTGGGGGAGGTCAGGGGCTGGAAACGAGAGGCTCTCTGAGTGAGAGGCCATGGGCCGTGTCTCCCTTTGGACACAGGAAAGCACCTTGGTAGCTGAAAATCTGTTTGATTTCTGGAGATTAGATACTGTTGTATTTTGTATGCACTTGAGTCCCTGAGGGAGAAGAATAAGTCAATTGAGGATGGCCTTCACTGTCGACACCAGGCAGCATGACCACCACCAATCCCTTCTTTTCTGGTGACAACTGACTTTCAGTTTGCCTAACAGTTTCAGTCCATGGGTGCTACTCAAATGTAACTTTTAATTGTGCTGCTTTTCACTTCTTCCTTAGATTTTTTTGTCCTGATAGTCTGCTAGGGTTTTGCTATGTGCTGTGGATGTGGTTTCAACTCATAGTGACCTGATGTAACACCACGAAACCCTGCCCTGTTCTGTGCATTCTCATAATCCCTCTTATGTTTGAGCCCATCGAAGGTCTTTCTCTTTTTCACTGCTCTGTTACTTTACTAAACTTGTCTTCTCCAGGGACTAATCTCTCCTGACAATACGTTCAACGTGAGATGAAGTCTTGCCATCTTTGCCTTTAAGGAGCATTCTGGTGGCATTTCTTCTCAGACTGATTTGTTGGTTCTTTTGTCAGTCTGTGGTACTTTCAATATTTTACCATAGTCCACATATTAAATATGACCATTAGGGCATATCTTGACAATTACAGTCTACTTTTAGCTTTAAGGTACAACATGATTATTTTATCATTCCCCCTCCCCTCTCTGTTTCCTTTCCACATTGCTATAAGCTTTTACACTTTAATTTTACCTACAACATTGCTATAAGCTCTCAGAGTACCCATTCCTAACAAAAGCATTTGGTGAAACTATTAGAAACTTGGTGTAGTTCTAAGAATTGTATTCCTACTAAGCATTTAAAGAATGAAGGACTAACATTTAGTACAATGCCATTCTACAAAGGAAAAATTGTGAACCAAAAAGAAGTACCAGCCTCATTATTTTAAGTATATTTAAAGATAAGAACATACTTGTTTTGTTTACTTTTCCATAACAATCCGTGGACTGCCAGAAGAACTCAATAAGAAATCTGTCCTGGAGGAAATATAGGCAGATTGTTCTTTAGCAGAGAGAATGACAAGACTTTATCTCGTGCATTTTGGACACTGTATGAGGAGGGACCAGTCCTTGGAGAAACCAGTCCCTGGATAATGTCCTCATCAGGCTTGGTAAGGTAGAAGATCAGTCAAAAAAGGTCCTCAAATGTGGCTGAATCCATAACAATGAGGAGAATAATGCTAGCCCTGGAAGTGCGTCCTTCTGGTGGTCAAGGGGTCACTCTGAGTCAGTACTAACCCAATAGCATCTAATACCAACAATGTATATCATCCAAACTCGTTTTTCACACTACCTGTTTATGAAATGTCATCTATCCATCAGCTTTTTGTTGGCCTAGCCTTCTGGAAAAGTAAAAAAAAAAAATAACAATATTGATTTGCAGAATTTGTGCTGGTCAAAGTAGGTTCCAGCGATTATAGTTTATCCCTAGTAAACCAGTTGTCATCAAGTCAGCCTGACTCCTGGCAACCCCATGTGTGTCCGAGTAGAACTTGCTCGATAGAATTTTTGAAAGATGATTTGGGAGGAGTATATGGCCAGACTGCTCTTACAAGGCGCCTCTGGGACTCCAACCGCCACCCTTAAGTTAGAAGCCAAGAGTGTTAACCATTTGTGCCACACATGAATTCCAGGACTCTAGTAACCCCTATATAGGGTTTTCAAGACTGTAAATCTTTACAGGAGCAGACATCTTTGATTTTCTCCCAGAGTGGGTTTGAATGATTGATCTCGTGGTTAGCAGTCAAATGCCTTGCCCACAGCAACACCAGGCTTCTGCTAGGTCACTTGTGACCCTTTGCTAGGTCTTATAAACTTCAACAGAAGACCTTTTAAGAGAATTCCTTTACCTCAACAGAACCGTGGAAGTTAAAAGGGCAGAGGAGGAAGGACTTGAGTGTTCTTCCAGCCACACTGTAGCTCCTCCACGCACCAACTCCCCAGACTGATCCTAACCCTGAATATCACACAGCTGCCAAATTGCATGTAACTTGATGCTTTTATTGAGTGAATTTATGTTGAACTTTAAAAAAATCAATGGCCCTGGGACATATCTTCTCCAAGTACCATGTTCACTTTGGTGCACAAGTTGTAACTGCTGTAGATGTTTCTTCACACCTTTTCATAGACTCTTGTACTGACAATATTATTCATGGTGCATTCCTAAAAGCAAAGAGGGATTTATGAGAGTTGGTTATAGGTGGCAGGTTGAGATCACCCTCCCTATCCCTCCCTAGAGTAAATCTTCAGTTCAGAAATAATTAAGTCCCACGAAAGGAGTGTACCAAACAGCAGCAGTAAAAATTCTCACTTAGACAGAACTCACCACTACCATTTTGCCGTCTACAATTTGTCTCTTGATTGTCGTCTCTTTGCCGAGCCACTTTTGGACCTGAATCATTGAGCCACTGTCTAATGTTATGATGCTCTATAAAAGCATAAAAATAGTAATTCAATAAATCTTATTCTAAGCAAGGCTGGGCTTCTGCCTATTGTTTCTTTTTTGAAATTATTTTCTTCAAAATCATCGCCCTGCTTCTTGTCATTAATATCATCAAATTAGAAAAAACCTTAAGAGATTATCCACCCAATTAATACCCACTTCTGGCAAGGAAAGCAATGCCAATGCTTTTATGCCTAACTGTTCTCATCTAGGAGCCCTGGGAGTGCTGGACGTTAGCCATTGGGCTGTGAGGAAAGGGTTGGTGGATTGAACCCAACAGCTGCTTCGCAGGAGAAAGAGGCTCCAGTGCGCTCACATAAAGGTACATGGCCTCGGAAAGGCAGTGGATCAGTTTTACTCTGTCTAGGGGATTACGAGTTGGGATTGACTCGAGGGCACTGGGCTTGGTTCTGTATAATGACATATAGCATGTCCTGTGAACGATCAGAATCATCATCCCTGATTTTAGAAATATGCTGATATCAATCAACAAAGCAAGCCCAAACGGACTGGATGACACACACAACTCAAAAGATCAATCTTGGAATAAATGATCTATCATGGCCTCCTAGTGTTTTTTTCACGGTGCAAAAGCAAGAAGAGTTAGTGCTTACCTTCACTTTCCGGTTGTCTGCTGTGGTCTCCTCAAACTCTTCCCCCAGCTTGAAGGAGATCACCGTGTTCTTAAAAGAACTCTCTGTTTTGATAGTCACTGCCTCTCCATCAAAACTGATGCTGACGCTTGGCTTTGCTAGCCCAGCCACATTCCGGGCTGCCAAGCTCACTCCTACAAGGTAGAGGAAACAACACACCTTGAGAGAGTGAGGAAGAAGTGTTAAAAATCGATCGCTGAAGACAAAATAGACTCATGAGCAAATGGGGTGAAGAAAGCTGATGGTGCCTGCTATCAAAAGATCTGGTCTCTTGAAGGCTTGAAGACAAACAAGCAGTCATCTAGCTGAGAAGCAACAAAGCCCACATGAAAGAAGCACACCAGCTTGTGTGAACATGAGGTGTTGATGGGATCAGATATCAGGCATCAAAGACCCAGAACAAAAAAGCATATCAATGTGAATGAGGTGGGGAGGGCAGAGTGGAGACCCACAGCCCATCTGTAGACAATTGGACATCCCCTGACAGAAGAGCCACAAGGAAGGGATGAGGCAGTCAGGGTGCAGTATAGCACCAACAAAACACACAACTTTACTCTAGACTTTAATGCTCCCCCCGCCCCAACTATCATGATCCCAATTCTATCTTACAAATCTGGCTAGACCAGAGCATGTACACAGGTACAGATAAGAGCTCACAACACAGGGGACCCAAGACATATAAACCCCTCAGGACCAATAATGAGAGTAGTGGTACCAGGAGGGTAGGGGGAGAAAGGGGGAACTGATCACAATGCTCAACTTATAACACCCCCCCAGGGGGGGTGAACAACCGAAAAGTGGGTGAAGGGAGACAGTAGTTGGTGTAAGACATGAAAAAAATTATAAATTAACAAGGGTTCATGAGAAAGAGAGGGACGATGGGGCAGGGAGGGACAAAATGAGTAGCTGATATGAGGGCTCAAGTAGAAAGAAAATGTTTTGAAAAAGATGATGGCAACACATGTGCAAATATGCATGACACAATGAATGGATGGATGGATTGTGATAAGAGCCGTAAGAGCCCCCAAATAAAATGATTTTAAAAAAATCAGTTTGGAAAGCAATTTTAGAAGAATGCATATCTTCCTTATTAAGGTTTTTGATAATTTATTATAGCTTCCTTTATGAATTCCGTGGTCTCTGCTCTGAGCCAGGTCATTCCCAGCCCTATTGCTGCGGTTCTACAGGACTGCTGAGTCACTCGTGACTCCTAGAGCTCTGTGCGCAACAGAAACACCACCCGGTCCTGCCCAGCCTGCAGTCGGCACATTGGTACAGCCACTTGGTCATCCATCTTTTTGCGCTTCCTCCTCCTTTTTGCTGGTCCTCTGCTTTACCAAGAATGATATCTTTCTCCAGGTATGATCCCTCTTGATAACACATCCAAAATACTTGAGAAAAAGGGTTGTCACCCTTGCTTTCAAGGAGCATTCCGGCTGGACTTCCAAGATAGACTTAATCATTCTTCTGACAGGCCATAGTATTTTCAATACCTTTGGTACCACCTTAATTCAAAGGCATCCCTTCTTCTGTCTTCCTTAGTCATTCAGCTTTTGCATGTGAATAAGGCGGTTGAAAATACCAGGGCTTGGGTCAGACACTCTTTAGTTCTAACAATGGCATCATTGCTTTTTAAAACTTCAGAGAGGTTTTTTTCACAGTATGTTTGTCCAGTGAATTATATCATTTGGTTTCTTGACTGCTGCTTCCATGAGCATTGATTGAGGAGCCAAGTAAAATTAAATCCTAATGACTTCCATCTTTTCTCCATTTATCACAATGTTGTATATTGAACCAGCTTTGAAGATTATTTTCTTTACCTTGAGCTGTAATCGGAGTCTTCATCAGGAAAGGCGTCAGATCTCCATCTGTTCGAGCAGGCAACAGTGAGTCATCTGCACATCACAGAGGGTTCATGAGACGCTCTCCAATCCCGAAGCCAAGATTTCCTTCTTGCATCCCAATTTCCTAGACTATTTTTTTCAGCACATGGTTTGAATAAATATGACATAAGGCTAAAACCCTGATGCACATTTTTATTAGTTTTAAACCTCCCAATCACAAGGTATGTCTCAGGAGTATATGTGACATTAAAAAAAATTGGATTCACTTTTTGAGACTTTTATGCTTCATTGAAAATCCTGTGTCTTCAAAGCTGGTCCATAAAAAAGATCTTAAGACAAAGCAATAACAAAATATACTTGCATGGTGCCTTTCAGGTTATTAAGTGGAATATTATAACAACAGGACAGAGGTGTTATTACCTATTTCTCAGTTTAGAACTAGGTACACAGTGTCCCAGGAAGGCAGAGAGGCATATTCTGGGTTAGAAGTGTATGATAAATAGCAGAGTTGAGACTTAAACGCTAATATTCTAAACTCCCAGGGCAGGTTATTTTCCATCTTTCTAAAAAAATATAGGAAGGAAGAAAGGAAAGAATGAAGAAAGAAGAAACACAGCTTTTTGACTACCTAAACTACTCCAAAAGTATTTATCTTAGAGTGTCCAAGCCTCTTTGTCATTTGAAGATTAAATTTACATCTGGCAGAATAAAAAGGCGGACGGGTGAGCAGGGTAATCTGGCTTGGCATCTGGCATTGTGGTATAGGCTGAGAAGCTTCTGTTGTCAAACCTCACTTCAACAATGATTGAGCAGAAGAACAAATTCTCTCTCTTCCTTCATTTCCAATTCTATTCCACCTTCAGGTTTTGGAACAGATGAGGATCATCTGATGGCAGAGACGCAGACGTAGAAACATAATACATTCAGAACAGTGGGGCAGTTAGCACTGGGACTCTCACTTTGCCACTTGCTAGTTTAGACATGCCACTTGCCCTCTCCAACTTTAGCTTTCTCTTAGTCAAATGTGGCTAATTATGGTGTTTACTCCCCAGACATGTTGGGAGATCAAATGAAAGAATTGAGTGGCGCTCAGGAGAGGTTAGCTGCTATTCACCTGTGCACTGTGCCTAATCCTGCTTGTCAACCAAGACAAGTGCTACTCTTATCATGAGCACCAACTGTCTTTTATGCTCTCAAATGTAAGCTATAAAAAAGGGAGTATTAGAATCCTTGAAGAAATAGGTAACCAAATTTCATATTACTCTCTGGGAAAAACATTGACTATGAAAGAGGAAGACATATCCTAACATCTTAGGAACATATATATTTATGAGTACATTAATGCCTTTTGATGGGGATGAGGTATTGTTGTATGATTGCCTAGACTCCCAAACATGTTAGTAATAACTCTAAGCATCTACTGATTAATTCAACCAAGTTTTTAAAAAGTGTAAAAACACTTGGCTTAGTTTGAGGGAGTTTGTAGAGAGTGGCTTTGTGGAGAGTTTACTATTGCAAGTGAATTTTCTCCTAATTAATTAGGCATGGAAATATTAAATAATTACTCCTGTGCTAATAATTAGTAGAAAATGTTTAGCTGTTATAGACCTAAGTAATTACAATTACTTCTTAAATATTCAAGTTAAAGAATAGTAAACATTTAAGGAGAACTTATACTTCTGAAAATAGTGAGTGAAAATGTTCTAGATCTTGAATTGAAATTCAAAAATATTCAAAATTCTATTTTAATATCCCCCAAATGTGTTATAATTTTATGATCCACCTTCTAGAAATTTCATTTGTTGTTTTTATTCTTTGTGACTTTCAACCTAAGACAAACATTGAAACAAATTTATTTGATAAGTTTCATTGTAGAGAGTGGTAGTGATCACTGCCTATAAATTTCAACCTAGAAAAAGCTATTTGATATAATTATTAAGCTAAAGGTAGGCTCTGTCAAACAGCTTCCAGAAGACATTTGTATAAAGGATAAATAGGCCGTAAGTATGAAATATGACTTGAGAGATAGATGAGCCAGTCTTCCCCAGAGGAAACTATCTATAAGAATATAAAAAGACATATTAGCCATGTAGTCTCATATGAATCTATGCTTATATTCTTTACCAAACATTACAAAGAAAGAAAGGAATTGCAGTACAATTTGTTTCGAGTTGCTAACCCGACCACATCACATAGTACTCGGCCAGTTTACCAGCGTTAGAACGGCATTTCTCACCCAGTTCTTTCATGTAGTCTTCAAAGTTTTCACTGGAGACCAGCTTCCAGGTTCCCAAGAAGTGCTCAACCATCCTGCAAAGCGTGCTGAGAAGAGACACAGCTGAAAGCCAAAGAAATGTAAGCCTTGCAGTGTTGCCAGGACCTTAATTTAAGGAGCATCGTTATCATGTGACTTCTGAAAGGACCCATTGGCAGTAGCCAGACTCGAGTGTAGGGACCAACACTTGACTCATTTTATTTGCCTCCAAATTAAGAAACAAAATTAGCATGTAAAGTTGGATTTGGGTTCAATGATTATACCTTCTAGCAAAGAGATTTATCCCCGAGGGTAACCTGATAAATGTTTCTTATGCAAGGGAGACAATTTTCAATAGAGATCAGCCTTTTCAGTTACAAATGCTGAATCACCTCTGGAGGATCATCCCAACAGATGTCTAATGAACACCTGACTGAAGTGTTTTCCCACTAAAGACAAGCACATCCTTGCTAGGTCCAGCTCAGCTGTTTTCTGCTTGGATAGTCCCCAGGCTAGCGTATCCTCTTCATTAAAATACTATCTTCCCTTCCTTAAAGGGTTGATGGCTTGATATTAGTTAATGTAACTGGAATGCCTACAATTTCTTGGAGTGAGGTGTAAGATGTGGTTAATGTTATCATTGTCACTAATCAAAGGTAATTGAGGACTGAGAAGAAAGGTGATGACTCTCATTGAATTTATGATTTAAGTCCTAAGAAGGAGGCAGAGCTCATGATTGGAAATTTTCCATTTAGGTTTTCCAAAGTAATCTTGATGTTAAAAGACAGCATCTGAAATTGTTGGTGGGAAATTGAGGCATTTTTAGCAAGAATTATGGTGTTTTGACATCTGTATTATAAAAAAAAAAGGGCAAAAATGAATTTAAATCTCTGAGTAAAAATGTCTGAACTTGTCCTCTCCAACCCAATAGAAGTGAGCTTTGTGGGTATTGAATTTACTAAGTATTTGATTCTGTTTTAAACTCCAGCTGGGGAGCTGAAGAATTAGGGTGCCATTGATTGACAAGAGGAAGAATACTCATACTATTATCTGCCACATGTCAACTCTTCTTTCAGCTTAAGGAAATATTTATTCAAATTATCTTTTTGTAGAGAAAACAAAAAAAAAAGAAGTTGATGGTTCGGCATGACAAAATTAGGACGCTTAGTGGAATAAAGAATTATCTTTATGAAACCCATAGAGAAGAAATTTTGTTATTTGAGATGCTTATAGGTGGAGCCAAATTATTAAAATATCTGGAGGGAAAAGCAGGGCAAGCAAAAACTCTAGAGATAATTTCAGGAAACAGACCAGGGTCAGAATAAGTGCCTTAGCAGTTGGCAGGAGACTCAAACGTCATTTAAAACTAGTTTCTTTAGCTAGGTTTAGATACCTGTGTACTCTGCTGGAAAAAGAGTAAACCCCTGGCCATACATATTTGCCTTGGAGTCATATCAGAAAGGTCTTCCATTCGTGTAGTCATCCTTTTTTAAAAACTCGGTTGGCTCATGAGAAAGAAGAAACCCGAGTTTGTGATTCCATTATAATTCCACCAGTCTTCGTTAGGAGCTGGAGAGAGATGATTCCCTTTCTTTCCTCTGTCCATTTGAGTCATTAGACTTTATTTAGAAGAGATGTAACCGTTGTGTTGCCAACTTAAAGATGAAGTCACACCTCGAAGTGACAAAGCAGAAAAGTAGAAAGAACTGAAGAAACTTGACTTCTGCAATTTCTGTTCAGTAATACATTTCACGATTTTCAAAGCAATTTTGTACCTGAGTTTTACTACCTTCAGCTTAAGCTTTCCTAATTGATGCGCTTTTATAAATTGCTTCACCCAATGGCTGACTTGGACTTTGAAAACAATCAACTTGGACTTACATAACCTCTACCTATATTTCCCAGCCCTACTCAGATAGCTCCTCCGATGGCAGAAAGTGGTTCAGTTAGCTGACCTCTAATATGTGAGACAATTCTACTCGCCCTGGTTGCTCAGGGGGTAAATGCTAAGCTATTAACCAATAGGCCAGCTGCTCCTCCAGAGAAAGATTGGGCAATCTCCCTCCTGTCACGACGACCTCACTGCCATGCAGTTCACCCCACCTAACAGCTACCCTCCAGCTTGTGTAGAACTCGTACAGGGGACAACAGGAAGACAAAGGGGTATGGAATGGTTTGAAATCAAGAAAGGTGTACGTCAGGCGTGAACACTTTCACCAGAACTGGTTCAATGTTCATGAACAACCTGCAATATGCAGAGAACACACTTTTTTTATCATTTTATTAGGGACTCGTACAACTCTTATCACAATCCATTCATACATCAATTGTGTAAAGCACATTCATACATTCATTGCCCTCATCATTCTCAAAACATTTGCTCTCCACCTAAGCCCCTGGCATTAGCTAGTCATTTTCTCCTCTCCCTCCCCACTCCCCTCTCCCTCATGAACCCTTGATAATTTATTATTATTTTGTCATATCTTGCCCTGTCCGACATCTCTCTTCACCCACTTTTCTGTTGTCCGTCCCCCAGGGAGGAGGTTATACGTAGATCCTTGTAATCAGTTCCCCCTTTCCAATCCACCCTCCCTCAACCCTCCCAGTATTGCCACTCACACCACTGGTCCTGAAGGGATCATCTGCCCTGGATTCCCTGTGTTTCCAGTTCCTATCTGTACCAGTGTACATCCTCTGGTCTAGCCAAATTTGTAAGGTAGAATTGGAATCGTGATAGTGGGGGAGGAGAAAGCATTTAGGAAAGTTGTATGTTTCATCGTTGCTACATCGCATTCTGACTGGCTCGTCTCCTCCCCGAGACCCTTCTGTAAGGGGATGTCCAGTGGCCTACAAATGGGCTTTGGGTCTCCACTCCACACTCCCCCTCATTCACAATGATGTAATTTTTTGTTCTGATGATGCCTGATACCTGATTCCTTCGACACCTCGTGTCAAGACTGTAATCTTACAGAAGTGGACTACCCTATCTGTCTTGCATAGCCTCGTGGGCTCAAATTCCCCAAATTTTGGTTAGCAGCTGACAGCTTAACTAACCTCTGTGCCCCTAGGGCCTCTTGTGTAAAAATTCCAAGCATGTAAATCCTATGGGAAAATTCTACTTTGTCCTATCAAGTGGTTATGTGTTGGAATCTATTCCAGGACATACAATAACTCATTAGAGAACTTATCTCCTAGTACTGTAACTAGTTATTTCATGACTGTTTCTGAATAATACTTCTAATTTACCTCTATAACCCTAAAATAACATGCTAGGTAAAGTGCAGTCAGCAAAAAAGAGAAAGACCTTTAACGTGCTGGATTGACACAGTGGCTACAATGGACTTAAACACAGGAACAGCTGTGAAGATCCCCCAGGAGTGGGCAATATTTCCTTCCACCTGAGGTCGGATCACTGTGAATTGGAACTGACTTGATGCTGCTTAACAACATTCGTAAGGCAGTGGCTAGCACATTGCCAACACTCAGCGATTGTTTCATGAATAAGGGACAAAGGGAATAAACAGTATATACTCCTTTTTATCAGACAGTTCTCCTCGTCAGTAGTCTTTATCTCGAACAGTGACAAAAGAGAAGTTTTAATACATTATCCTCTTTTGACCTCCTCAGACAATAGATGTTTCATTTTGTCCTTATCAACGGGCAGGAGTCCCAGACGTGGTCCTTTAAACTGGTATCTAATTATTACTATACAAATCTCCCGCTTCTCAACTAAGAATTGTTTCTCTCCATCTGCTGCTATCGTCACTAGTCCAGTTAGGACATTTCCCTGAGCAGAAAACAAAGCACACGTCCTCATGTTCAAAAAGTTAAAATGTGCCGAATTTAAAATCCTAGTAAAGAAAGTACTACACATAATTTGTTATAAAAAGATTTCATCTTGCTTACATGACATTTCAAAGTTTACTTTTTGCCTCAAGTCCATTTTTAGATAATTTTCCAAAACCTAGTTTTCAAAAGTGACTTTCTTCTGTGACATTTTAGGCATTTGCGGTTCTTAGCTGAAGTCAATTCAACAGCGCATGGCGGCATCATGTGTAGCACTCCATAGAGTTTTCAAGGCTCTGGTGTTTCAAATACAGATAGCCAGGTACAGCTCCGAAAGCACTGCTGGGTGGATTGCAAACACCATGCTTTTGCCTAGTGGTTGAGTGCTTAACCATTTGTGCCACTAGAGACTCCTTTTTAGACATTAAGTAGCTTTTAATATATTGTTAATTTAAAATGATACATTGCCCCGGGATACTGATTACGGGTAAAATTAAATATACATGTATACTACGATCTACAAAAGATGAGAAATATGTCTGGTCACTTATAGCTGCATATAATATTACAACTAGAGTCACACTGAATCTTAAAGGTTTTTATTTTCCACATACAATGATTCCCCTTCGAATCAGTTTAAATCATCAGTATTTACATATATGCTGTGGTGAATCTTCATAACAATTCTTCAAATTGTAAAATTAATCTAGAATATAGAAAAGGCCATGTTGTATTTCTAGTTACAATTTTTTTAAAAAGTTTTGGCATTATGTCCTTCCTACCCAACAGAAGAAAACTTTGGAATTTATATTTGGATAATAAATGTCCAGGATGAAAGATTTGCTTAAACTATTTAGTCCTCCACTTTCTGGCATTTTCTACGTAAGAGACATGGTGTTGGCATGAAATTTCAAGATACTCTAATTTGCTTAGTATAAATGACATATTTTTTCAAGGACACTGTCACTTCTGTAACTAACTTAAATCTGTATGGTGCTTTTAGGAGAATTTTACATTTAATTTGATTGATGCATTATTTTGCTTACAGTATTAACTTTACTTAAAATAATTATTCTTGGGCAATGAATACAAATGTGCTTTACACAATTGATGTATGTAAGGATTGTGATAAGAGTTGTATGAGCCCCTGTGATTTTAAAAAATAAATAAAATAATTATACCCAATTAATACTGAGCAAGTAATTTCTTAACATGAAACTGCCAGCTTATTTACTCTACAGTATAAAAGAAGACCCACAGAAGAATTGC